AACTAAAAATGTTTGTGTTTGTAGAACACATGATTTCTGATGCAAAATAAAAACACCAATACGCATGTGCAGTGACTGTTATTGTAAGTACCAAAACAACCAGTACACATGCGTATTAGAGATTTTCATTGTTTCATCGAACAAATACTCAGATGTGTGTTCTAATATTTCTATCAATACACGGGATGACGTCATACTCAGCTGATGTAAACACTACATTGCATGATACAAAACATTACGCTGTAAAATTTATACTAATACAATATATAACTTATTTATATTTGAATGACATTGATTATCACAGTTCGCTAGAACCATGTGTAACTGCGTTTTGCGTGTGTGTACGTCTGTGCAAGAGTGTGGGCGAAAGCTACTTATATTGATACCCATGCATTTGAATAAAAAAAGACAAAAAAATTGCATTTCTCTCTTACTTTAGAAGTGTCCTTTACTGTGTTGCTTTTCATCAGAGTTGACATCTCCTCGGACAGTTCAAACGCTCTTGTCAAAGGATCGTCCTTAGTAAATATTATGTAAGATGGACTACATAATGCTGTGTACACACCTATTCGCGTTCGACCTGTTAGGACATCTTCATCGAAACCTGTTGATATTACAATTGATTTCTAACAGTTACGCTTAGTCAGCATTGTGTATTGTTTACAGCATAGCGATCATCATATTCTACAAAACACCGTTTTATATCAACTGTATATTGAGTGCATCCATGCATTCATCTCTTACCTCCAGGGAGAGCAGGATTCGAAATATGCTTAGATCCATGTGAAAGTAATAGTTTCACCATTGCGTAGTCGTTATTCTCCGCTGCCAGCTGCAGTGTGGATTTAATTAGCCCATTGTGCTCTAATCGCATATCAGCCTCTGCACATTTAGTCTGTACACAAAAACAAATAATACTTTCTTTTTTTGTATTTATTGATTTTTCGAGTCACGTAAAATACTTCTCTGGTACTGCGCAACATACAGGATCACTATTCATCATAACTATACATTTACAAAAAAAATTCAGAAACTTTTAAATGTAGTCAGATCAGTACACTTTTAATAACTTTCCCCATTTTTCTTCAGTTTTATTTGCAATATAAAATTCAGTGTTCTGAATGTCATGAACAAAACCTGGTATTGTTTGTTAACATAGTCTTATTAGTCCCCGTTCGGACGAAGTCCGAAAACGGGGACTTATAATTCGGTCTCCGTCCGTCCGTGTGTCCGTGCGTCCGTGCGTCCGTCCGGAGTCATATCTCAGAATCCCTTGGACCGATTCCGTTCAATCTTTGCATGTGCCTAGTACTTTATGTGGGACATATGCA